CTCCTCACAGGAGAGTATCGGCTCTGCATGCGGATGACTATGTCCAGCATTATGATGAGAGGGGCCATCCCATTAATCCAGAGTCCAAGTATTTTGGCAGAGAGCTAAGAAGAGCCAAGAATGACGTCCTATCCACGATGGGGATTGTTGTCAGTGAAGAGGGCAACATGGGCGGCCCTACTGAACAACAGAAGATTGACATGATCGCGGCTGAGAATGACTATGGCTTGGTCATGGCTACTCTAGACCAGATCTCGGTCTTTCTTGGCTCCTGGTGGACTTCCTCCTTGATGGGCCGGATACTGGTAACTATCTCTGAACCTGCGACTAGAAGAAATGATGAACAAAATCAACCTAACCACTTAACCAGACCTTCAAAAGTTACACGCATGTTCCCTTGCTCAGTATGATACATCTAGAGCGTACGAAGCACGGCATAATGGGATTTTACTTTGCGGGTATCCCAGCTTGGGCAGTCTCAACATGCTTATCCTTTCTCCGACATCATCCGCTGGATCGCTTGATTGCGGCCTGCCAAGATCTATTCCCGAATGATAACGTGCTGTCAAGGCTTGTACGAGCCACTTTGAACATATTACACTCGGCGTGAGTACTTTGTGCGGTCTGGTCTTTATCACTAGCTAAAAGCGCATGCAGAACTCGAGGAAGCCTACTTGTCCTAGCTATACAAACTTACATGTACTCCCTGTTACAGTCACTTCACCTCGTTCATCCTTACTCTCTAGTAGGGCTAAGGGCTCTTCTGCCTTTCGGTGAACATGCTCCGATGCAACTTCCCATGTTACCAAATGACCTCTCGCCTCGTTCTATGGTCGGGTTCTTGACAAATATCCTAAAAACACCCTCACTTCTTGTTTACATATATGTGTACCTACGCCCAGTCGTCGAGATCAGGCTCTATCGCCTGCTTCGACGAAGGTTGCCGAAGCCCGTCTATGCAGACGATCTTTCGGTCAAAGTGGCCTACGATAATGACCTTATTGACTGGATGATGCCAGCTCTTGGTCGTCGAGCCGATGAAGAGAATCGTCGCAGCAACCTTACATTCATGGAAGACTTGGCCTACGAAGCCAACTTCTTTCGCACGTGGATTCTATCTTGGTTTGGCTTTAAGACACAACTGATAGGGTCAAGCCCGGAACATACGTCAGAAACGCTTCGTCGTAGAGCACAGATAGAATCAGGATCATCAGGCGTGCAGCTGTCACGCGATGAGCGCCAAACACAAATCGCTCCGCAGAGCAGACAAGAATTGGACACTGAACAAGTGCAGCGGACTGCTGCTCCTCGATCTTCCGTTCCTGGCGGCACTGTAACTTCAGATGCCATCTTCAACGAGACTCAGGTGCTTTCGAATGAAGAGAACAGAATGTCTCTGTCTCCAACAGAAATGAGCAGCGGTGATTATGCGGACATGGCGCCATTGAGACGGGCGATGGCCTTACCCCTAGAGGAAGATCAGAATAATCGGGCCTTGCCGCGCGGCGATCATGCTGCTGAGGCTCCGAGAATGTCGCGGTCGAGTACGCTTTTTTCCCGTCCCTCATCGTCTGCTACCTCTTCTCCAGCTTCGCCCCTCGTGCGTGCGTCGCTGATACATCAGAATTCGGACGTCATCACGATGCAGCTAGAAGTGTTAGGGAACCGTCATGAGCGCAACGCTAGTACAGAAGAACCGAGGGCCAGCAACGACCCTGGCCAGCCACACTCAAACGGAGGGCCTGTCAATAATCAGGCGATCTCAAATCTGCTTGACGATCTGCTGGCGAATCAGGGCATGAATCTAGCCACCATTGTCAACACAGATGCTCTAGACAGCGATGGACTTTCTAACATGACCCAAGGCATATCTCCAGGATCTGTCGACACAACACCGGTATCTGCGGAGAACCCTCAAGTACAAAGTTCGGGGGCAAATACACGCCCTATCGGAATTCCTACAACGAACCTTCAGAATGCATTGCCAGATAGCACAGGGACACCGGATCAGACCGATATGCCCCAGAGACTATCTGAAGTCACTCAGACCTCTGCGAATAATGTCAGCTCTGGAGCTCCTCCGATTGCTTCTGATGGCCGGGCACCACAAACTTCAATAACCGAGTCTCATCCTATCGCCCATCGAGTCACAATTCTATCATCTCATCCCATTGATTCTCTAGCCTCTCACCTAGCTTCTCTAATCACGACTTTGATGTTCATTCCTCTCGAATCTCTTTATCTCCGCTCACTTGCATCTTCTTATCTATCAGCTACAGATGCTCCCGCTGCTCTTCGGTCAGATGTTCACAGCATGGGACTCTGGGCTAGTGGCGGTTCGCGATCCAGTACACTCATGTACTTTGGCAAAGTTGCATTGATGATGGGAGTACAAACGGCCGTGAATGCTAGTGTGTGGGGCATCATCTCCGGTGCTGCCATCAGAATCGGGAGAAAGTATTGCGGTTGGGGATCATTATAAGCATATGTAATATAGTTAATATCGCCAATTCTCATGGTCAAATTACTGTCATGCTTGAAGGGGGCTTGCCTTTTGATCCACAATCTTATGTATGTGCGAATCCACACAGGCACATACGCCAGCTGTCGGAAGTTGATGCAATTTCTAATATTCCGGTATAACCAGATGTCCTCCATTGAGGCATTACGAGGATCGAGGAAAGATCTCCCTGACAGATACAAGACACCAACTGATACGAGCAGTAGGTTTGGACGATTTCTTTCATAATGATCATAAGAACTTAATTATACAGGATTTTGATCAGCATGTGTGTACCAACCCTGAGTGCGGGACATCCAAGCACACGCACAGCTAGCCAAATCCAGGAGAACCCTTATCCTGCGGTTCACTTGGCCGCAGCTTTTCCCTTGCCGTTCGCTTTCCCAGGCACCTTACGACGCTCCCATACCATCAGATATCCCTCCTTGGTGAACAAGGTCTCACTTTCCGCCTTTTTGACGAACAGATCCTGGATCTCCAGCCACTCGGGCCCCCGCTGCTCGCCGGCATGTTCCTGTTGGATGCGGCCATTCTCCGCGGCCATGGCCTTATCGTGGAGTTGTACAAGCCAGGAGACCTTCTCGCTGCCCGCGCCTGCGCCGCTCGATGACGACGACCCACCACCACCGCCGCCACTGCCACTTCCACCTCCTGCTGCGTTGACACCCTTGTCTGCTGCGGCTTCCTCGTGAGCCCCCGGTGCGGCCACGGTGGGGTCGAGGATGATGTTGGCGACGAGATCGTAAAGGATGGGTTCGCTGTGCGGCCAGATGGCGGGGTTGGGTTCGACGTAAGGCGACATATCGAGGGAGCGCGGCGAGGGGAAGGTGACGATGGTGGGGTTGCGCTCGGAGACAAACCGGTTCTTGCTGAAGCGTTTGATGTGGAAGAAGAGGTAGGGGGGTAACGGGTGGAGGAGGCGGTGGCGGACGCGATGGGCCAGCTTCTCCGAGGCGGTGATGCCGTTGTACTTGTTCAGGAGGGTGGTCAGGGGCACCTGGGGGATGATGGATTCGCGGTTGGAGGATTGGAAGAGGGGGGTCGGGGGCAGGTCGAGGGTGAGGATGAGGAAGGGGGTAGTCTGGCTGTTGATCGTGCCGGATTCGGTGAAGACCAGGCGCGCGTTCTGGGTGTCGGAGTGGGCGGTGATGGCTTGGCTCTCGATGCGGAGATGACCCTGAAAGGCCGCGTGGACGACACTCGTGGGCGTCTTGGTGGGCTTCTTGGAGCCGCCGAGGGACAGGTGGAGGTTGTTGAGGAACCAGGACAGGAACTCCACCGGGTCGGATTGCTGGGTCAGCGTGAACCGCTTCGACGAGCGCAGCGCGATCTCCTGAAGGAGCTCGTGCGGGGACACATGCGACCGGAAGGCCTTGTGGTTCCACAGTTTGCGCACCAGCGTGCTGAACCGCACGGCGAGTTGGGGGGTGCCTGGTTGGGAGAAGTCGTGCAGTAGGAAATAGTTCCGGATGGGGAAGACATGCGCAAGCAGTTGGACCACGACGTTGAGGTAATCGTTGGCTTTGATATTATTCATGCCAACAAATCCTGGGGCACAGTATTGTCAGCTTGTTTCTCCTTCTGATGTTGGAAGCTGGGGTTGCAAGGGACGCTTCTTACCAGGCCTGTAGCGATTACCTGCAAGGTCGAACGCATCATGAACCTCTTTATCTAATTTGGCCACCTCTTCCTTGTTGTAGTGCGGGTCGACAACGTATTTGATGTCGTCCAAGCTCTTGTTCTTGACCTCGTAGCCTTCGGGGAGAACGTACACCTTCTTGGTTCCCATGTTGATGAAGACATGGTGTCCGACCTCGAGCGCATGGAAATAGGCATGCGACTTCGGCCCTCTTCCCTGGAAATATTTGCCGCAGACGAGGCAGGCGTACACGTTGATGTTCGACAAGCTCACGGAGCATTGCTTCTCGAAGTCGAAGTCGAGGATTTCGCGATTGATGGTATCGAGGTAGAGATCGCTGTAACCCTCCAGGGGCGCACTTTGACGTTTCGGGGCTGCGATGGCCGGCCTGTCATCATCGGTATCGGCATCAGAAGAGTTGTTGGCTCCCAGGTCCTGCGCCGCCTCCTCGAGTTCCTCTCCTTCCTGCTCGGCAGCTGCGAGTATGTCCTGGCCATTGGCTCGGCGAAGCGGCAGAGCTTCACGGCGCGGATCGTCTTCGGGCAGGTCGCCATCTTCCACGCGCGCCTTCTTCGAGGCAGGCGAGCCCAAAGAGATTTCCTCCTCTTCTAGCGACAGTTCCGCTTGTCTTTTCGACATCATGACTGAGTATACGACGGAAATTCGACAGGAAACATGCGGCGTTGCGGGATTGAAACTGTGAGGACGCGATAGGAACCAGTCGATGCAAACACGTCAAACAGCGTCATGCGGCGGGCGATTGCAGCAGCATCACCGCTCGATCTGAAGCTAACTTAACATCATCAACACTCTAGACGCGGATTGCACAATGCATTTCACTATTCGAAAAGTCGTTGTTATAAGTCTCTACCTCAGCTAAATCATGGGCAAGACTAGTTCGTCCTGGTCAAACTCATGGGAATTATCCTGCCATGCCGACCGATCCTCTTAGAAAAACCAAGTCCCGTAAACCGAAAACATAAGACAATCATTGGTATGATACAACACATTAGGCACTCTTGACAACCCTGTTATTATCAACTTCTACCTCCCGCACGCCGTCCTTGGTTATCACCTTGACAAGGACCTAGAAGCTGTCAGTAAACCCGGAATCATATTGCGGTTCGATTGCAGAAGATAGCTTGTCACATACCCCCTTGTAGTCGATTGGTAGTCGGCGCTTCAGCTCGTCCGTGCACATTTCCAATAGCTTCAGACCTTCATCGAGGGAGATGTCGGGATGGTGGTGTTTATCGAGGGTGGACAAGCAGTAGTATCTAAAGCATCTTAGCACAGGCCTCGGCGAAGAGTGACAGACTGTCTGTATCACGTCCAAACTTACTGGGCATAGCCGTGAGCTGCGTAAGGTACCGACGCCACGGAGGCCAGGTAGTCGATCCAGTACAAATGGGGCTTCTGAGTGATTGGATCCATTCCGCCCAGCAGAAGGTTGACTGTGTAGGGATTCCGGGATCTCAAGCTCCGCGCGAGCTCGCCTCGGACGAAATTGGCAACCGCATTCGGACCTAGTTCGGTGTCGTTGCGCATGGTGTATAGCTGAATGTTGGCTTGGATGTATTCGGCGAATTGGACTAGTGATTCGTACGGTTAGCTGCACGAGCCGACCTTGAGAGTGGCTTGTTGGTCAAGCCGCAAGGAACCCACCAGTGTCTCCGGCCTCTCCGGAGAAGGCCATCAAATTGTGCTTGTTCAACTGTCTTGTCTTATCGTCTTCAGCTTTGATGATGGTAGGACCGCGCATGATAGCTTTGGAAGCCGCCAGAATGACGAAGTCCTTGCCAGTGATGCCGAGTAGTACCTCCCTGTAAGCAGATTAGTCGACAAGAATCTCTCAATGTGGGCAACATAGAACGTACATAGCTGCAGTCTTTATTCTAGGGTATGACAGAAGAAGAGAAAATAAGAGGGAAGGGAAGGCAAAGTGATGTATAGATGTGGGGAGAGGAAGATGATGATTAGGACCTCATCGCTGGCCGCGCGGAGCTTTGACTGCCTGGAGCTGCGGCTACGAGGGCCCAGCTGCCTGAGGCCGGAGCTGCCCTCTTGCTAAGTCAGCATTTAGGCGTTACGTTGATGCGGCCTCCGCCTGCACAGACCACCGGCAGAAAAAAAGTGAGCAAGCGAGTATCTGCGTTGGGTCGGAGTGTCTACTGTCAGTTCGCGTGTGGTCTGCTTAATTTTACGCCACTCTTTTCTCATTCAAAGTCAAGCCACTTACTCTGGGCAATGTCCTCTTTCTTCACAGTCCCCGCTTCCCAGCGGAAAAGAAAGAGAGAAGATCGCGCCGCTGCCCCGGCGTCGAAGAAACGAGGCGTCGATGCGAAGGGAGATGCAACCGGAAGAAGTGGCGGCAAACGCAGGGATCAGGATGAGGAATCGATCTCGGGGAGCGATATAGATGAGGATAACCTCAGCGTTGCTTCTGGTGTGTCAGACGACAGTGGATCGGAATCCGACGAAGGCGAGACCGCCGCCGACCGGAGATTAAAGCTTGCGGAGCGCTACCTGGAGAATGTCCGAGATGAAGTGGATGACATTGGTTTTGATGCGGCTGAGATCGATCGCGATTTGATTGCGGAGAGATTAAAGGAGGATGTGGTACGTATCGCTATCCTTGTCTTCCATCTGCTCAATGGAGCTCACACTCGGGCCAGGACGAGTTCAAAGGACGCATCTACCGCCAGATTGCATCAGACCTCGCCTTTTCGAAAGCTTCGCATACATTTTTCCGAGCAGATACACAGTCGACCACTTCGATCGCAGCTCACGCGCCCTACGTCTATACCGTGTCAAAGGATCGGACCTTGATTAAGTGGGAGCTTGCCGCACCCACTTCCGCAACTGCGCTGCCCTCAACAACCGGAGATTCCAAGCGTCGCCCACGTCCACAGAGAAAGAAGCCCAAGCAAGTGAAGTATGTGCGGGGCTTGCGGAAGGTTGCTGAGACTGGCGAGGAGCATGGCCACACCAAGAGCATCTTGTCTGTTGCTGTATCACCGTCCGGAAAGTTCGTGGCAACTGGTGGTGAAGACAACAAATTGATCGTCTGGGATGCGGAGACCCTGACTCCCTTGAAGACCTTCACACAGCACCGCGACTCTATCAGCAGTCTCGCCTTTGCCCGCCACATATCCACCATGAGTTCCGGAGAACAGCTGTTCACCGGCTCAAATGACCGAACCATCAAGACCTGGTCTCTAAGCACTGCTGGTCATGCCTACGTTGAGACGCTGTTCGGTCATCAGGACCATGTCACTGGCGTTGCCGCCATGACGATCGATCAATGTATCAGTGTCGGGGCACGCGATCGCACAGCGAGATTATGGAAGGTCATCGAGGAACAACAGCTGATTTTCCGCGGCGGATCTAAGAGTGCTTCTTACCAGGAAAGCAACATCGACTGCGTGGCACCTCTACCTCCGAACCACTTTGTCACCGGCTCGGACTCGGGCTCCCTCTCGCTTTGGTCTGTTCACAAGAAAAAGCCCCTCTTCACGATTCCGCTCGCCCACGGCCTCGATCCCTTACCTCCCCTGGACGAGCTCTCCGCCGAAGTCGACCAAGCCACGGCTGCCCACAACTCCCGCCATCTCCGCCGCATGCCTCGCTGGATTACGGCTCTGGCCACAGTGCCTGGCACGGACATTGTGCTTAGTGGTAGCTGGGATGGATTCATTCGCGCATGGAAGATTTCAAGCGACAAGAGGACGATCGTTCCCTTGGGCCCCGTTGGAGGCGTGTCGAAGATGTCCCTAGCTCCCGATACGCCTTCCGAGCAACTCCGACAAACGCTCGAATTCGACACACCCAGCGCCTCGGACCGCATGGATGTGGAAGGTGCACCGACTCAACTGACCACCGGCGCCCCCGACGAAGAAGAGCCGCTCGTCAAGGGCGTCATCAACGGCCTTGCCGTGTTCGAACGCCGGGTCGAAACCGCTAAACCCGGCCAGGTCCCAACAGAGTCCAAGTCCAAGACGACGACGTCCTCGGAGCCGGAAGCTCGCGGCCTGTGCATTGTGGCAGCCGTGGGCAAGGAACACCGTCTGGGACGCTGGAAGTGTTTCACCAATAATTTCCACGAAGGTCCCTCGGCTGAGGGCCGCAATGGGGCTGTCGTATTCGAGGTTCCGTTCATCGGTGACAAGCTCAATTGAGAAGACAAGAAGCATCACCAACGGATTTTTTGTTTTGAAATGAATCATTGTGAACACGGCGTATGTGTGTCTATCTCATCTTCTTTCTTCCATGTGTATTACTATTCCCGGGCCCCGTGGTCTTTGCATATCCTCATATTCTTCTGGTTCAAAAGTTTCTTCTGCTCTTCGCATCCGGAAGATCTCCTATTGTCTTCCCTGCTCATTGTTCTCCTTTGCTCCTAGGTGTGCTGCGGATCTGCCGGAAATGTACATATACCAGATTTTTCGTGAATAGACGAAATACACTTTAAAGTTCCCCGAGCAAGTTATAGACTACGGAAGGGACTGTGATGCACCAGGATGCGGAAGGAACTGCCATAAGACTCGGGCTAGCAGTTTCCTCGTTCTCTTCTAGTCCTCCTCGTAGGTCTTACAGGGCCTTCGTCTTCTGAGGAAGAGGCGATGTATATTGCATTCGCCTCGGAGTTGGCAGGAGGGTTCTGAGTACGGCGAAAGGCGCCAGATGTTGTCCTAGGCGCCGCATCAGCCGATCGAGAAGCCCCGGTGGACTGCTCTGGCTCGGGAGTAGGAGAATCCGATGGCACGCGATATGCTGGCACTCGATTCCGCCGGCTACTGCTAATAGCAGGTCTGATAGGCTCGTCATCATCGTCATCATCATCGTTGTCTTCCGAGTTTTCCGAGTCTTCTGAATCATGTGAGTCCTCATCTTCTTCGCTGCTACCGTCTTCGCTCCCATCCAGCATCTCGTCAGGCGTACCGCTATTTAGAACGTCGGATCGTGTAATTGAGTATTCATGATGCCCGACAACTGTAGACCGGTCAGACTCAGAATAGTCGCCATGGTCATGTTCTAAGTCGTCGTCAATGAATGAATCCATATCCGCATCGTCATCTTCATCGTCCATTTCACTATCTTCGATTCCCGAAGAAGGGCCTGCAGTCCAATCGCCGTAGGGCCAATATCCGCCGGGTTGCCGATACAATGCGTCGTGAAGACCTGGCGGCAAATTTTGAAGGGTTGTGTATATCTCATCGAAGTCATAATCTTCATCATATTCTCCGAACCCGTCCTCAATGTCATCGTCCATGTAGTCGGTCATCTCTTCGGACCCTTCAATGTCGCTATAATATGTGCTCGTTATCGAGTCGCGATCTCGTTGGTAACCGCAGTGTATACATTCATCGTCCTCCAACTCCCATGCACAGTGCGGACAACGTAATATGTTATCATCGTCATCCATGATGGGCTGACTAATTTTCGGCTTGTTGAAAGTTCCCCGAAACAGACCCCCTTCCTTAGGGTCTGCATTCTGTCTGTCCTTTTCTAACCGCTCTGCTTCCTCGTTGTGATGGCGCTGGTGCTCGTTCGTGGTCTCGCCCTTGTCGAGTAGTTCGGGCTGGCTCGTGAACATTTGAACAACGGCTCTAACCTTTGAAGTGTGAGATCGAGCCTTTTTCTTCTTCACTTGGCTAAGGATGAGTCAGGGTGTCTTACCAAGTAAGCAGGTGCAGGCTGCGCCTTCACTGGGGCCCGACAGTCAGGGCATGTTTTGTTGTGTCGTCCACCAACGAACCATGAGGTCAAGCACTACAATGCGCTGTCAGACGCCGTGCGAATAGCTATGCCAAACATATGGGGAGCTTACACTGTAACAAAATGTATGCCCGCAAGCCAAAGTATAGGGTTCATAGAGCGGCCGGATGCAAACGCCGCATTGTATGAGGGACCGAATGCTGTCGACATGACCTTGTAAAGTTTGGAAGAGCTATTAACACGATGTTAGCAATGTATAATTCGAGATATCCGCGTAATACGCTCACCCCCGACGCGTTGTCTCCCGTGTTTATCGCGGGCGCATTTGTGTTATCGGCACCATTGTTCGAGACGGCAGCCCCGGCAGCAGCTTGGGCCATTTTTTCGATATTTGCTTTTGCGCAGCCCGATGAAGATGTATATGAGGTGAACGTAAGACCGTATATCAAAGTGCGCGAAGCTCTTGGAAGTGGATGATATGAGAAAGAGGTCCTGTTGTTTAGGAAAGGGTGAGAGATAAGTATGGACTTTTCAGGTACGCGAGACGATCGCCGACATCACTGGAGGGAGGGAGACAGGCAACTATGGCAGGAGTAAAATAGCCCCCCACCAAGTGGTTTTAAGCCAGAAAATTCGAAGAGGAAGCAACCCCGTAATTATGAGCTAAATGTGACCTGGGCGACCTCGAAACGCGGCTCTCGAGAGATAAAGAAGAGAGATGAGAGGAGGAGAGGAAGCAAAGCTCGGCACTCATACCGGTAGGATTAGTTTTTTGGGGGAGGAAGAGAGACTTCCTTATTCCTGCCTGAGGAACACCGATCACATTCACTTTTGTCTTGGCCGGTCGGATGTTCCGCGCGCAAACCGAACAAACACATCAACATCAACATCATCTTTTCCCCCTCCCTAACGGCCCGAACTAATGGAACGGTTTAATTGTGGAGATCCAACTGGATGGGATCCATTGTATCGACCGGAATAGCTTCCCCTATCATGGGGAGCATTTAGCGCCGAGTTCGATCCGGGCGTCAGTATCCTGTTAGCGCCGGTTATCTTCGTGAGATGGAGACAACCTTCTCGATCTCTTAGAATGCTTTGGTTACCAAGCTTATCGCGCGGGACAATTCCCCTCCCCTAAGACATGATGTTCCATGACATAAAACCCGAAACCACTATTATCTTCTACTTTCGTGGTCGAAAACCGATTCAGGTCACTGTCTATGAAAAGCATGGGCTTAACTAACAAATGTCTGGCGCGCATCCCTAATTCATTACAACATGATAAGATTGGCCCAACGGCAACCCTTGGCTCGCTTAACAAATCGAAAGCACCATACGACAACCTCATATTGGCCGATGGGGAAGAAAAAGAACAATTTAGTACCGCTTCATTCATCCACATGAATCGCTGCTCGGATCTACTCCACAGCAGCAAAGCTTCGTTTTTTGGAACGCCGCTGCTTGAGATCTTCTGATACCAGGTGGCTATCGTCAGTAACACCTTTGATAACTTTATTATCTTCAACAATCTCCTTGTCCATGTGCTCCAAGAACGCGATCTGTTCTCGAATAAACTGCTTCAATAGGCGCGTGTCGAAAGGTCTGGTCGCTCTTTTCTGATCACGCATGAATCGGTTGGCATCTCGCAGGCGCTCTTCGAGGATCTCAAAGCGGTACTCCGCGAACTGGTGGTACAAGTCGCCAAGCTTAGAGATTGGACGTACTGTTGTAAGTACAGTGTCGTCTTTGGTGGCTGAAGCGCGAGGCCGAAAAGAGGTGACCATGGAAATGCGCTCAGTTGTTCCCAAAGCACGGAGTGCCTGATGCTCGATATAGCGCCCCTGAAGAATGACGGCAGATCCCTAAAAGACGCTGTAAGCCTGCTACCACTTGGATCAAGCCCTTCAGACTTACCATCTGTGGTCCTCGGACCTTCACCACTTCGCCGTCACCTTTTCTCAAAGCTGTCTCGCCGCCAATCATGTTTGTACAGTCAGAAAGCATAGTCACGCAGACAAAAGGATAACTGTCTGTATGCCAATCAACGATCGGGTCTTCGTCCTCCCAAGGACAGCCGGCCACGCCTTCGTCTGCTTGTCGAGTCGTCTTCTCCATGACCGCTTTGAGAGCTTCATTCTTCTCCTGCTCGCTGTGAACGGAGATATTGACGTGGCCAATCTCGAAGTCCATGGCGGGAATGAGATCAACACCGGCAATTTTTGAGATGATTGCCAGCGTCTCCGGATTTTTCCAGGCATCATAGATGAACGGGGCGCATCTATGCAACAACATCAGCTATGCTCAAAGGTGCTCGGTCCTGGGTTACACACTCTGCCGCATATCCTCGCAACTGGCACTGAGCAAGATCGCTCGAGTACTTATGCTTCATGAAGACTTCATCGCTGAGAACCTCTTCTCGCATTTTTTGGATGGCCTCTGCAGAGAACAATGGGAAAGGCTCGGAGACTCCCACGGGAGAAACACCTCGGCTGTCCGAATAGCCGAGCTCTTTCATGCTGTACACTTTGGAAGGAGCGGTGTGATCCAGATGCTTGGAAGGGTCAAAGGCAACCTTTCCTGTTGACGAGGTCTTTTGGTGGCTGACTTCTGTCTCTATGGGCTGGATTGGCCCTGCCAGAATTGGCGCTGGTGTCATAGTGTAGGTCTCCACAGACGCCATTGGTCTACAACTGTGAGGTTCTCAGGTCAGAAGCGAATCCAAGATATTCGCCATATGCTATGGATTGGCGGCGGCGACATACCTTTATATGTCGAATATGGACTTGGATCAGGCCGCAGATGGATCCGGATAATAGAGTCAAATAGAGAGGTATACAAAAGATGGAGCTGCCTGAGGGAATGGCCAGGGTAAGTTGGGAGGGGCTTCAAAGGTCATTATTTATAACCATGTCCGAGGTAAGTGGCAAGCTCTAACCAGTCCATCTTGAGGCTTCGCTGGATGACTGTGACAATACCGTATGTGACAAACAAAACAGCTTCTTCAGGCTCCACCGGCCGGACAGAGTGTGTAGTACTGGATCACCATGCAATCGTCTTTGACATCCACGGTCTTGAGGACTATGGCGCGCTTGCCAGCCTCAATCACTCAACGTGTGTTTGCAAGGCAGGTTTTTGTGGATAGACCAGTCTATGGAAACTATTCCTATGTTGGGTTTGGCACAAAGGATGCATGCTCCACCATGTCATCTTTCTGAGGTAATGGACATCTCGTCGATTGGGCCGAACGCTTCTCCCTTAGAGCAACATATGGAACTGGAAAAGCAGAGTGAAGAACTCATTATCTCTCCATACGCTCTGTGACCCAGCTCTGTGACCAGGTCACTAGCGCTATGGTAGAGCATGGCAACAAACCTTTTAGGAAGTCCGGACCAGGCCCACGCAGACTTCTGCAACATACTTCGAGGCCAGTAAGTCTCTTTCATTGCGAAGTGGGCCAGACACCAAAGCCTTCCTTGCGGCTATGAAACCTGGGCAAGAGTTTTGAATAGCGATCACCGCGATCGGTCGGGCATCAAGGGACCTATTGGATTTGTTAACGGTTTCTAGGGGGGGGGGGGGGGTGAAGGGAGAATTCCGAAGCTTCTCTGCCAAGTCTGGCTGCTGAAAGGACTTTTTGACCCGATTTGGGATTTGGTGTCGTGTCGTGGCTAGTAAGCTATCAGATCGAATGCATGGAATGGTTATCTGTGCTGCTGCCGATAACACAAACCCCTCTCTCTCTCTTGCCCCTACGCAACGCTAGCTATGACAACCGATTCGCCGCCCTTGCGCTGTTCACACAACATGCATGAATTATTCTGTTTTTCTGTTCAACCTCTCGTGTCCCGTATTACCGGTCGGCTATTGCTCCTACCTTTTGAAAAGATTAATATGCACTTAACGGGACTGTTGATGCCGATTTCAGTCTATTCTTAGTCCCATTACCCACTACTTTGTCCCCGCCTATACTTTATTTCGGAAGTGGAGCTTCCATCTAACAGGACTGTTTCAAGGGCTTTTTTCATTCGTATGACATAATTGCTTCAAACTGATGAAATACTCTGATGGCGCAGAGGACCTAAGGTAGTCTTTTCATGTTACGTCGCCAATGGTACGCTTGACCAGAACGATGAAAAGATGAGCCAAACCCAAAGTCAGCGCACAAGTGATACAGGACCGAACTCAAGCAAGCCTGTCCATAACTTATCCGGGAAAGAGAAAGAAGCGCACATAATCAATGCAGAGTAAGGCGGGGTAGAAATATCCATTCTGTGATGTTTGTCACATCGAAGGAGGTACTGTATTCAAAGCTCGGCTTCTCAGCCGGGCAGATACACATCAGTACAACAACACTGCTGTACTCTCTCAAAGAAATGGGGCAAATTGAATGATCTGTCCTGTTGAAATAGAGGCGTCTCAGTAGACACTTAACTCACTTACATTGTCTGCTCAGCAAACTGTATTCGTACTACGAAAAGATATGTTGAGTAGATAACTATGCTTTAAAGGAAGAATGACTAAGAGGGGTCGAAGACCGGAGCCGGAGGGATTTCCCCACGCCAAGGTCGGCGGGTCCAGCTTTTTCCGCCTGCCAATCGATCACTCCACGGAGTCCAGGCTCACTTATACGTACATGTCCTCCGCATACTACAACCTACTGTATATCTCTCCGACTACCTTCGGCACTCATCATTTCCATTACTGCCTGCCAATACGTGTGTCAATTGAACTTTGCTGGTATAGACTTCACATCTAAACGATGGCCTCCTCCTCCTCGGAGCAAAATCAGCAGCAAGCAGCAGCAACGCCGTCCTCATCTGCCTCGGACTCGGTCCAATCGAACTCTTGGGAACGGGTTGAGCGAAAATTCTCCAAGTAGGTTAACCCCCTTTTCTTCTTGTCATCCTTAAATTTATACCCCGGGCTCTTTTTTCCAATTTCTCGTTTGCTTGGCACCGTAATCTCTCCTTCTATGCGGCTGTTGTCCCAGACGGGGATAAACAACATGCCTTGGCTGCTCTATCGATTGTTGGCAATTGCTCGGTTGCTCGCTTGTACTGCTGGACCAGACCTCTTGCTATCTAGCGTCAGTGCATCTAGTGTAACATCCATTACTAACAGCACTATAGCAAGTCTGCAAGTGAATACTTTGATCCGTGCCAGGATTTCGCAGACCGGAGTCTGAAATGTATGAAACGCAATGCTTTTGATAGAGAGATGTGTCATGACTACTTCCAGTGAGTATCTTAGCCCATTATAACTCATATTGCCTTCTCTTGTGAACACTTGCGCTTGCTGTTCCCTTATCAAGAGTGCAGATCGTCAGTGTTGCACTCTGTATCTGGTGGCTATTCTCATCCCTGCAGTCGTTCAACTCTATTGTACCATGTGCTGATTGACTCTCCAGGGCTTATCGCGACTGTAAAAAGCAATGGGTGAGTGAAACTTGCTCTAAGTGGTCACCTCCCTTTATCTTCGCCGGCGCTCATCTGTCGGATGCCTTTCCCGGGAGCTTTTGGACCTTCTTGGAAAGGTTTTCCCTGCCGTTCACGTCATTGCTAACCGTTATCTCTACAGTTGACACAAAAGAAAAGAGGTGCTTAGGCTAGTACAGAAACAAACACATGGCAGCCCACCTCTCTAGGTTGCCTTGGTTTCCTGTTCCTTGATGCCCCACGATGCCAGGACCTACTTAAAAGCCAGCATCGACCTTGGCCGCAAGCCACTATGTAATGTGATTCATGAAGATAGTGGTATACTGTGTGCTTCGGTCCTAGATGCCGGCCTCGATCAAGACAAGCAGAGAGCGTCAACAATCTTTGCATGGTGTTGTTCTTTGCTAGGCGGAGAGCTAGAGAATTATTGACGGCGGATTTGGCAATGGGCAGTTTCTCAAGAGTGAAATGCCTCCTGGGAATATCCACAGGCTGGCCGAACTATCAGGTAGGCGTTAAGCTTCATCTTGATGTCTTCTTCATCCTTCTCCTCTCCTCGCCTTCCGCCTACGCTTGTACACTACTTGTATGTTTATTTGATGTTGTCATTGAATTGGAAGGGTCTCTTCTCTGTTTTGTTGCTAGGAGTAGCAGCGCCGTGGGGTTCACTATGCGCCTCTAAAGTCAAGATGTGTATAAGGGAGGTTTACTTTCGGCCTGACGTTTTGTCCACCAAGATATACTTTCCTGTGAGGCCTGACCACGGACGGATATCCTCGGGCTTTAATCCAACCAGGTAACTCTATCTTGTAACTCCATTCCTGAGCCTCTACCAAGGGAATATGACAAAGCCAATTATTCCGATGAAATTGGAATCATGATAATTGATCGATCAGTCTATGACTGCGTCATCACCCCACTAATTGAAGGAAGGCATGGCCACATGCCGCCGTCACCGCCTTCCAAATGAGCTTCCCCGCCCACCAAACTCAGCAGAAAGACGATAAAGATAGTTGGAGAAACACCAACAATTTCCCCCTCATCTTTGCTGTATACTCAATTCTTCCGCACATCGTGTGCTGTGCTGGCTTGCGCAGCATACTTTATACTGCACTCTATAGTTGCTATTGACAAGTCGAGTCTCTAGCCTTATCCTCTCCAACCCCGTGTTTCCTCGAAACATTTGCTATGTCTTCCACTAATGACGCCGTCTTTTATCGGCGGAACAAGCAGATCCAAGACGCCATTGATGGGCAAAATCTAAAGCAGGCCCTGCAATTGATCGAGAAGCGTATTAAGAAGGGTGAAGACACACCTTTTCTCAAAGTAAGTCCTTCCTTTTGTGATTTGTGTCAAGATATCTACCTCAGTCGAAGCGAATTTCTGGCTGCATTCAAGAGCTTCCCTCCGATATGATTGTTTCTATGCTAACTGGAGTTTGAACGCTTGATTTAAGGCATGGAAGGCGTATGTTCTCTACCGTCATGCCGACGAAGCCCATCGCAAACGTGGAATCGCCGAAACTCTCGAACTGTGTAAAGCCGAACCTCCCACCACGGATCTGGAGACCCTCGATATCCTCCACGAGACACTGGAAAAACTTAGCGACCATGGGGACACCCTGAGAAGCCTGTGGGAAAGGGCCTCTAAGGCTAGCCCAAAGGACTTGGATATCCAGATGCGGTGGTTTGAGTATGGTTTTGAGGGCGACGACTGGAAGTCGGCGCAAAAGGTTCGCAACCATCAGGCGCCGTTGACAAGCTTAAGAGAGGCGCTAACCGGTCTTGCTTGGTCAATTCATAGGCTGCCATGTCTCTCCAGAGCAATTTTCCCAAAACTAGGAAGTATTATTTCTGGGCCATCTTCCTTTGCTACCTGATCTCCGTCGATGCGGGTGCTTCGGAGGCTGAACGCAAGCTTTTCGGAACCCTAGCCTATCGTATGATTTCCAAAGCTGGCGAAAGTGTTCCTCAAGATCCGGTATGTTACAACTTTCTTCCTCTGCGATCAGCGGCCTCTCGTCGGTCATCTTCCTCTGCGTGGTTGGATATTTGTCTGGACATCATGGTGATATTTGAAATCGTACACACAGAAGGAGTTGCTGAGCCCTCCCAGAGCTATTCAATCGGCCGAGGAGCTACTGTTGCTTGTTAAGATCTTTGAGTCTCAAGAGCGCCATGCAGAGATTGTCAAGATCCTCGACAGCGATAACCTAGGTCTGAATTCGCGCGTCGTGCAGAACGATTGGTCATTTGTTGGGGTGAAGCTGTCCAGTCTGGAAAAGGCTCAAATGTGGACAGAAGGTCTGGACTATGCAAAGAGCTTGCTCACTATCCCAAGCAACGAGGAAGAATTGAAGGCTCTTCAAGAACGTGATGATTGGGCAGTCTGGCACTTGCTCCTCACCTCAACTCAGAGGATTAACTCGTCAGAGTAAGTTTGCAGCGTGCATTCTCACGCAATGATGAAGCTCCGCCGGCTAAATTGTAAGTCCAGGACTACCATCGCAACTCAGGACTTCATTCGCGACTTTGTGGCGGCGGTGCCCAAGTCTCGCAATGCCCACCTAGCTCGGCTTGACATGGTACACTGGGGTTTTAAGTCGGGTAGCTCTAACGCCGAGGACTTAATCGCCGCCTGCAAACAATACTATGATCTCAACAAGCACAAGCTCTACTGCTTCGGCGATCTGAGGACTTACGTGTCATCACTCGATCAAGCTTCCATGACAAGCCTGGTGAACTATACTTCGAAAGGACAAAACGAGGGGACAGATGTAAGTTGTTTGGAATCTCGTGCGGAGCTGGTAGACTAATTTTGAAACAGGGAGCTTCAGGAAAGGGCGTCGCGACGATCAACGCGCTTAAACTTGAGTACTGTTTCTGTCTTTCGGCCAACGAAGAGAACGTCTCCAAGCCACAAGTCGAAGATTTCATCGTCCGCTGCCTGCAGGTCTACCGTGAGGTCCAGCGTCCCGAGAAGACTTCGGCTCCCACCACGATTGAAAGCCAGCCCAGCGATGACTTATGTATTTTGGCGGCCATGAGCCTGATGCGTTTCAGCGAACCATGCACGTCTGTTGCTGATCAGCAGATTCCTGACGCCGTGCTCATTCGCGCAGCAGCTATCCTCGAACGCCTCCTTGTCGACTCACCCCACAACTATCAGGCATTGTTACTTGTCGTCAGGATCTATCTGCGCTTAGGTGCAGGATCCCTTGCACTGAGCAGCTTCAGTAAACTTTCAGTGAAGCAAGTGCAGTTCGAAACTGTTGCTCACAATCTTTTCACACGCCTTGCCACAATCCACCCACACTCCGCCCCACCAGTTGAAGGAGCTGAATACAAAGACTTCAACCCACAATCCGCTTTTGTGCAGGCCCTTAACTTCTTTCGCACTGCAGATCTCACATCAACCAGGCATCGCACTAGAGGACTAGATTATGGCAGCTATGTGAATATCGAAGGCACCATCGAATTGCAGAGGCGTCTGAGGCAAAGCATCTGCCGCAGGATGTGGGCGCTAGACGTAAGGCGCATACAGAGACTGGCTGGTGGGGACCCTATGACTAGATACGAAGATATGGGTAAGTAGGTTCTGCACCATTACTCTCCTCTCATGCTCACACAACCGCACGGCACAGCTAGAGATGAATCGCCCTTGGTCGACCAACGTGTCTTCGACGCGTTCATGAACTGCGAAGCGCCTGGAAAGCCTACATTTGAGGAGCGCATACGCCTGGGTCCTTTGCCTAGTGTGAGTTCTTCATTTCTCTCGTGATGCCATTGCGACTTACAAGATTAGAACGGATGGATCAAATCTATGAATTTAACCGACCATCTGTTTGGCACTTTGAAGTCTCTGGCTACCCAAAAGCCATTGACTGTTGAGCCCGAGCTACCAAACCTTGATGACATCTTGGGTGAAAATGTGGAAACGGAAATGACAACAGCAGAAATTGAAAGCGTTAAAACAAACCGGAGCCTCCTGGCACTTGCTCTGTTCTTGAGTGGGTCCAAATCTGTTACTGCCGAACAAGCAGACGCCAGTCTTTCCCAGGTGGAAGCATGGTTGGACTCAAGGTTTCAGGATATCAATGATGGTGACGGGAAGGTATCCCCGGTTATTTCGAGAACTGCACTTTCCTTGGATTCGGACGCACCAATTGCGCCAACTTGGAAATACTTCCATAATCAGTTCATGGTCCTGGACTCGCTTAAGGCCTTGTCCCTTCTAACCACCGTCGCCACGCGAAAGGGGTCCAAGAACGCCAAATTGAGTCGGGAAAGAATTGACAAATTGGCTGACACTACACGCCAAGTCTTCCAGAGTATTAGAACCGGTGGTCGTACGCTCAAGTCTCACGTCTCGGCTTCGGGTGGGTTGGGCGCGTTGATCGACATGGTCCTAGCTGGTCCCGACCGCGGGCCGGAAGGTAGTAAGCTATCCTCCGAGTTGGACAAGACACTTGATATGTCTCAACTGGAGGTCTTCTGCGGTGAGCTAAAGGAAAGCTGGGAGGAGGGATTGAATGGCCTAATCGCCGTAACCCTGTGAGAGCATCTTGCCCTTCACTTTCTTCTGACACGAATTGAAAGGCGGCCACCGAACCTTGATTATATAATGCTTCGTCAATCCAGTCTTATAGCAAGCTTAGTGGTTAATCGAACATTATTCACCAACTGCCTATGTTTATCAGTCTATTGGGTCGGGCCAATGCGAAAACTGACCATCTCCTTCCGTGCGAACTGCATACAGCCCCATTGCAGCGGAGACAGCTCAAATTCCCTGAGTATGTAAGATTTGGTTCGACCTAGACCACGAGGCTGAGTGGCGTGAATGTCGGTCCGGTCCTGCAAGGGCGCTTATGCGTGTAGCGAAGCAGTCATTCTTCTATCCCTTGTTTGTGTTCCGACTCCGATCGGATGCATACTGAATACCTCTTGATCACCATCCTCTTCTTCTGTTTTGTTCTTTGGGTTCCTTTAGTTCTTTATGTGCATGTCACCGGCCAGTCGAAGCAAGCCGTAGGTGCATGTTGGACTACGAGGCACGCCATTGCCGTAAGATGTTACACGACCATCGCGCATCGAGAGTCAAAAGGAGTACAGGATATAACGACGGTTAGTTCTTGCCCGATCCCATGCCTGTGTGTGCCACGCACACATTCCTTGTCAGGTGTGGTTGTCGCCTTGCGTCGCTGGCTTACAGCAGGTCGTGGCCGATTTTAATCACAGTGTCACTCAGTAGTCAGCCATTCTAGCGGAGCAAGTCTTTGTATATATGCATCAACCAGTAAGCCTTTGCTATCACTACCAGGCTCTGGAGCTCTAAATTTTGCTTCAGCATGGTCTGCTTCTAGGCTTCAACCCCCTCCCCTGTAGTCATATTTGCTTGTGTTTGTTTCTCCCTCTGGACAATGGGTGATACCAACAATGGCTCTACTACATTAACGTATGAATACAGACGCGCGTTGCGATCCGAAGACATACTGACCCAGACGGTATGCCTCACTGTCAGCTCGTGTTGTGTTGGAATGCGCCTGTATTCGAAGATCTCCATCACACGAGCTCCGGGATGGGAGGATTGTATGTACTGCGTCCCTGTGAAGTGAGCCAGCTCGCTGGGAATTAAAGGATAATATGATGCTGAACACTGCATTTTGATAGTGACTTGTTTCCTGGCTTGGGTATGCGGTTTTGAGCTGCCAAATTCCTTATCATTTCACACCTGTGCACATACTGAGCCTTTCTCTATGCCATGACCAGCTTGGCCTGATAGGATATGCCGCTATCACCTTCGAAACAGATCGACATGGGAACGGCATTCACCAGTGGGCCGTCGCTGCTTCCGATCTGAGAGAATTCTCCAAGGTTTGAGAGGATCCCACCGCGGCCAGCTGTTTCTCGTCTTTGCTGATGGTGAACCATGTAGCTAGCGAACGCCTCACAGATCCTCTACGGCCCTTTGATCTTTATCACTAAGCTATCCATCCTACTCTTATATCTCCGCCTCTTCGCGCCGTCAAAGCGCAACACCCCTTTCTGGCTCATCCAAACCCTCATCTGGATGAATTTCCTCTTCTACTTAGCCGACACCATCGTCAAGATCTGCGAATGCAAACCTCGCGCCAAGATCTGGGACCAAGACATCCCCGGGCAGTGTATCAACATCAACATCCCGATTCTGGTCACGTCCATCGTGAACGTTGTTTCCGACTTTCTCATGCTCCTGCTTCCCATTGTCTGTGTCTGGCGCTTACAGATGACATGGTGGAAGAAGATGGGCCTTTCGGCTGTGTTTGCAGCCGGCATCTTGTACGCTGTTCTCCCTTCGGCTCTTGAGTCCATTTCACCTTTTTGTTTCAGATTGGTCTTGCTAAGAGCCAGACCAGTCTGACTTGGGGCGGGAAGCTGAATATTTTACCCTTTCATAGTGCTTGCATCTGCAGCGTGATGCGTCTCGTAGTCAGCGTCCGAAACCGCACCACGCGGGACAGAACCCATGACTGGTTTCCGGAGTTCCTATGGACGTGAGTGCTCTTCTTGCAGCATCATGATGAAGCGGAATCCTAGACTAAAGTACTGGCTTTTTGGCATTGATATAGCACCGCCGAGATCACCTCAGGGATCGTCGCCAGTTGCCTGCCCGCGCTGCCAAGTTTCTTCAAACATTCGTCCCAGAAAGCCAAGGCTTGGGTATCGAGCATCGGCACGGGGAGCGCTTCCACGCAGGTGAAGGGGCCCCTTGCAGCCATCGACCAAAGACCTGGACCGGGACCGGGGCCGGGACCTGCAATGCGTACTATTCCGCAGCGGCTCTGGAGATCTGGACACGACTTCACAAGTACTACGGAGTCGACGGCAGATAGCTACTGGGAGATGAGGGATATTGGGGCTTATCGGGGCATATGCTATACCACGACGGAGGCCACTGCCAGTCGGAGTGCACCAGAGGCTATCAATGTGAATGACCTTGATCCGACAAGTGAGGAAGAGCAAAGGCCCAGAGCCGGGATCTTGAAGATCGTCGAGGTAGATATTGAGACTGGACCTGAGACGGAGCGATGAGAAAGTACAACGAGGACTGGCCATCGGGTGAGTCGTGATGAGCCCTCGGCCAAGGCATGCGAAGCACACCAAGTTCATGTGATCAGGCCTTGCAGACAAAAAAGCGGCGTATAGCGGTAGAAACAAAAACATGTCATATAATCTGTTTCAGCAAGCAGGCTACCTGAGCCGCTAAATCAGTATACTTGAGAGTTTATGAGATCCACTAATCAGCGCAGCAGATTACCTGTCACCCGATGGCCAGTCCCTCATAGAGCTCATCACATACGCAGTGTAAGCATGATAGGGAAAAGCAATATACTACATGGCGTAAGTAAACAGGTACGTAGTAATGCAACCTGGGTTGGGAAAAGTGGAAGCTGGAAGCCACTTTCTCCACAAAATACCTAAGGCAAGATGTACCGATTAGCGATTAGCGATAAGAGATAAGAGATAAGCGATAAGAGGTGGCTATGACACGTGACAAAGCTGCAGCAACCCTAAGCCCTACCCTCGCTACGCACTCCCGCAACGGCCAACCAAAAACTGGCAGACTCCATCGCGATTCCCATCCGCACCGGCGCACGTCGACTCGACAACCTCTTAGCAGCAACACCGTCGTCGCCAACCGCAGTCCATAACCGTCGTGATGGCTCAGGAACGCTCCGGAATCGTGGTCGGCCTCAACAAGGGTCACGTACGTTGTCCCCTGTTCTTTTGATCTCCTGCAACAACGATTTGATCCGGTCGAGTGTGGTGGAAAAAAATGTCGAGAGTGGGAAAATATACACGGGAAGGAGGATTTTCCTATGCCAAGGGCAGGGTGAATTATTGTCGAAACCACAGATGTCACCATGCTTTCAGGAAAGCTGTCTGGGGATTCATGGAATTGAGGAAGGGAATAAGGGACTTTTTTTGAGGGAGAAAAGAACTCGAACTTGACCGACTTGGCTGGATCAAATCGCGCTCCACTTCCGCTATGTTCCTTGACGACTTTGCAAGGAAAATTTCGGTCATGGAGAAATACGGACACAGTTGCTGACCTGATGCTTCGGCCATACAGAAGACCACCCCTCTTAACACCCCCAAGACCCGGGTCAGCCGTACCAAGGGCCAGTCTTCCCGCCGTACCGCTTTCGTTCGTGAGATCGCCCGCGAGGTTGTCGGTCTTGCCCCCTATGAGCGCCGCATCATCGAACTCCTGAGAAACACTCAGGACAAGCGCGCTCGTAAGCTCGCCAAGAAGAGGGTACGTCTTTGCATGATGAAATCTTTGATGGGTGAAGGGAAGGGGGAAAGGGTTCGCGGGCAGCTCGTTTTGTTTCGGTTTTGCGCCAATCCATGCTCGTTGGTCATCCTCGACAATCATTTACTCGGTATCGGAGAAATGCAATCCTCTTCAAATTGAACTCGGGTTGCATCAACTTCGCATCGACATCTCAACATCTTATCCCATGATCTCCACCTCTGCCAGCTCGACTGCAACAGACGACCACACCGACCCTGCACGAACAACCGAACCGATGGGATGAACCGGAACCGGAACAAACGAGCCAGCTCTCCGAACTCTTTTCCCCAACCGTTCCCCTTCCCGTATCTCCTCCATCCCGCAGATTTAACTAACAACAATCTCCTCCAATTTAGCTCGGTACCTTCGGCCGTGGCAAGAGAAAGGTTGAGGACATGCAGCGGGTCATCGCCGAGGCCCGTCGTGTTGGTGCTCACTAAACGTCTTCTTTTTCTCTCTCTCCATTTTCCTACCCAAAAACCACCAACTGTGTTTCTCTCTCCCGATTAGCCAAGAATGAGATAACGAGAACAAAAAATCATTCTTCTCTTATATTTGTCATCAGAGTGGAAGGATACAACAATAATGGAATATGAGGAAAATCAGAGGACTAGTCAGTGACGAGGAGAAAACCACCACGCACGTCGCCCCATCCCAAGAATTAAATAAAATACCCTTTCTCGGCCTACCTACTTTTCTTCGTGCACTGTAGATTTGGCTGTGTCTTCTGCTATTGCTTGTAGAGGTTGAGTGATTGCGATGATGAATCTGGACGGTGGACGGGCGATTGATTGGCCTTTTCCTGTGTCAACAATGGGTGGATGGTGGTCTAGGCCTACGTAGGCTCTGGAATTCTGGTGTCCTTTGCAGTGATTATGGATTGGATGGTGAGTTGGTTCAGGTGGAGAAGGAGCCCGTGGCTCCCTCTGGTATTGCTATCTCTGGTCCCATTGATCCCATGCGGAGAAAGCATGCCTACACATCACGGGGAGTGATAACAGATGAGCTACTGCTTCTAGAACGGTAGCGTTACCCACAGGTTCATGTAACTTGGACCACGCCAACTATGAAATATCTCGACGTCGTACCCTCGCTACTACCACTCGGAAATAGATGGCCATGTCAGTATCATACGATCATGTGAAGCATTTCATTCATTATCTATGTTCGATTTCTACAAGACGTTCCCACCCATCTCCCTATTTCTTGCCTGGCAACTTCAACCACTTGGGTATTCCACCGGGCTTCCGCTTTTCGCCCGTCTTGGTCTCGCTACTGCCCGTGGTCCCCAATGTCCGACCACGCGCGTCCTCGGCGGTCTCCATGACCTCTGGGGGCTGCTCCACCTTGATTTCCTGGGCCCGGGTCCGTAACTCCGGCTTCAGGAGCTCGCGGCTCGCGTGAGCCGCCTGGGAAGCACTCTCGTCCCAGCTGAAGTTGACCAACACCCGGCCCGCCAGCCCCAGGTCTCGGATTAGATGCGTCTGGTCCGAATCGGGGATCACCTCCTGGATCTTTCGACCGCTGCCGCCGCCGCCGCCACCTCGCGAACCCGCGGGGAGATACGTGATGACGAACTTCTCTGCGCTGGCAAATGGCGCGGCCAGGCAGTTGCGCACAAAGTCGTACAGCGTTCGTCCCGTGTCCTCCCGGCCGAATCTGGCCACGACCTGGCTTTGGTCGGGGAGGCGGACCTTTACCTCGACATCGGCGATGGCGGCCCGTTTTTCCTCCTCGGCGGCTGCTTTGGCGGCGATCTCGGCGTCCGTGGGGAGTCGCTGGGGTCGTGAGGCGGCGTTGAGGCGGCGTTGATGGGCTTGTGCGTGGTCCAGGGATGGGATGTAATCGGCTTCGTTGTAGGTGGTTTGCGCGGACTGAGGCGTGTCGCCGGATGGAGGGGAGAAGACGGTCACGGGGCGCGAGAAACCAGCGGGGACTTCTGACGGATCTGAGGCTGGTATGGTGGGTTGAGGGGCAGGGGTAGTAGGTTGCTCTGGTGCTGGTGCTGCCGCTGATGTAGAGGCGGGTGTGGACTCGGGCTCGGGATCCCGCTGTTCAGCGATGCCATTCTCCAGCGATGTTTCTGTAGGTGCGGGCGCTTCCTCTTGCTTTGGGGTTGGGTCCTCGGAGGTCGCGAAGTATTCTTGGATTTTTGTCATCGCTTCCTCCAATGGCTCTTCCGTCCGCCGGAAGCTGAGCCTTAGTAACACGTTGCCGCTGTTGAAACCAAGTTGTGCTAGTGACTTTTGGAAATCTGCAAAAGATGACAGCTCCCGCTGAAGGACCTGAACCACCGGAGTTTCGTAATATAGTCTACCTGCGCCCTCGTTGCCACTTAGTACACCGCGACCCGTCAGGTTGCGGGTCGAAGTGCCGCCCGCAACGCCCGCCTCGAATTTGCGCAAGATGAACCAGATTGTTGTGGTGCTGGGAAACTTGTCCATGAGCCGCCCGTTGGGGGCTCCCCGTGCTTCTGATTCGGGGAGTTGTAACGCGACTGTGACGACCGAGGGGGAGCGAGACGACTGGACCAGCTCCAACTTAGCACCGGAGGCAAGTCCGGACAGTCGAAAGACGAGCGACATGTCGAGCTCTTTTCCTTTGTATCTTGACAAAGACGGTGTTAGTTGAGTACACACTGCTTTATAGGTTCGATACTACGGCGGGGTTGTGTTATGGGCGGGAGTCTTACTTCAGCCCATGTTGACTGGGATCTACACCAAGCTTGGTGCAGGCCTCTTGCAGTATGTCAGTTAGATGCTTGCCCGGGGTAGTCTTGACAGTAGCCCTTCGAGCTGTCGAGTCCAGGACCACGACATGCGAGCTCATGATGCGAGGCTGCGGGGTGTGGCAGTCGAGGTAATCAAGTAGAAAAAGAACAGCAGGCCTGCTGAGATAGCTGGAGAGAAGCTCAACGGTGCTTGTTTGATGTATGTCAGTCAGCTTTTAAACCGAGAACAGATATGCGTCAACAAAATATACAAGAGAAAGGGAGGTTGAAGGCTGACAAACCTAAGTTGAGATAACTATTAGAGTGTAGGCAGCGGGCGCAAGCGTCATCGGAAGAAGCTCGGCGGCTCCACGCGTTGCTGGCAGAGCTTCAGTTCAACTCCGTCCATCTCCATCCATCCTCCGCCCATCCATTCGCCCTCCCAACCATCCTCCTCCCCTTCATCTCTGCTTCACTGTTACTCCTCATTCTCTCTACCCCTACCTTCTCTACTACAGTTCATCCCTTTACTGATCTTCGTATCGCCTGAATCACTCACAATTTCACCCCAATCATGGTAAGTTGGCCCTGCGTGACCTCAAGGGTCTGAGCTGAGCAAGCATGCTGACCGAACCGTTTTTACCAGAGTTCTCCCTTCGATATCAGTGCGTACCCTCGATAATCTACATTTCGATAATCTGTACATTGACTGACCCCCCGCTGCGCAGATGGCGGTGCATGCGTCGCCATGGTGGGTAAGGACTGCGTTGCCATCGCCTGCGATCTCCGCCTGGGCATGCAGGCCTTGACCGTCTCCAACAACTTCCCCAAGATCTTCAACTACGGCCCTTCGACCTTCCTCGGCTTGACGGGTCTGGCGACCGATGTGGCGACCGTGTCCGACCTTTTCCGCTTCAAAGTGAACATGTACCGTCTTCGCGAGGAGCGGAACATCGCGCCCCAGACCCTGGCCAACCTGGTCAGCTCGTCGTTGTACGAGAAGCGTTTCGGTCCTTTCTTCGTCAGCCCCGTCATTGCCGGCATCAACAGCACAACGGGCAAGCCCTTCATCTGCGGGTTCGACAGCATTGGGTGTATCGATTTCGCCAAGGACTTCATTGTGAGCGGAACCGCAAGTGATCAACTGTTCGGTACTTGCGAGGGTCTGTGGGAGCCGGACTTGGTATGTTTCTTCTTGTTCCTCGGTTGGCGAATCATATCGGATCAGTTGCTAATTGAGATTGATTGCCCTTGACAGGCTCCGGAGGACCTGTTCGAGACCATCTCCCAAGCCCTTCTCAGTGCGGTCGACCGTGACGCTCTTTCCGGTTGGGGTGCCCAGGTTTACATAATAGAGAAAGATAAGGTTACCAAGAGACTATTGAAGGGAAGGCAGGATTAGACGAGATAATTACTTGGATCATGAATTTGTGTTATTTTCCCCCCTTGCGGCAGTTATGCTCATTGTTCTGCTCTCTAATATGACGCTTCCATCCATCCTCCCTCCCCATCTAGGTGCCATCAATATTGCCGAGGCAAGGCTGAGAGTGTGTGGGGATCCAGGCAATGACACGCTTATCCTAGGTGCTTGCGGTCTAGCCGCGATCAACTCATCTTGCAGAAATTGCGCTACATGGTATTGCTCAGGTACCGGCTTCTAGTACCAGAAGATAGGCGTGTGATTCGAGCAACTCCCGACTCTGGTGCGTCGGTACTCACTCCCGAGGTCAGCCACTGCTCCATGAATCCTTGATTCGGCTGTTGATGGGCAAATTGTAAGCTTCTACCCTGTTACCAACGACGAGTTGCACGGCTCCGACCTCCTACCTTGGACAGCTTAGGGTCACGTTGTCACCGGCTGGGACTGTAGGTGTGGAACATAAAGTATGCATGTGTTCTCGTCTTTCCGGGAAGGAGACAAAGTAGATTAGGGTCTGTTGACAAGACGGAGGAGAATTGTGAGTCCCCCGCCGGTCAGGTCCCTTGAGGCCAACAGCACCTCGACGAGAATTGGAGCCTTGTATACGGCGACTAATAGTAGTAGTCCCTTTACAAGTACAAACCCTAGGCTAGTCCCGGAGAAACTGTAATCTTAAGAAGACAAGAATAACCGGCGTTGGCTTTGACTATAGATAAGAGTAAGAGGAACTCGAGTACAAGTTGTATACTGATATACTTTAAGAATATTAATCGATATAGTCTAGTCAAGGCCAGAGAGAATGTTTTATATGACAAGAATTAGTTTATGACTTATAATGAGTTAACACGGGGATAGAAGTCTAAGAGCTTGCTATTCTTTCATAGTAGAAGTTAATTTAGATATTTATAACCGGCCTGTTGAGTTATACTGCGACCTGCCTCTACTCGGCCTTTGGCTGATACATGCGTGTATGAATAATCAATCCATGAATTTATCATTTAATAGAGGAGAGCTGGCTTGCGGTATGCTGATCTCGGCTGACATGCGCCTGAAAACTGCACCGGTACGTGATAGATGAGTTCGTAGAGGTATAGCCAGTGCTTCGAGCATGGTCTGGTGTATCGTTACAGCATCATGACCTGAGGAGCTTTCAGCAGGCTAACGACTGAAGGACGGGACGATGATGGGCTCAGCGTGCAAAGTACAGGAATCAATCGACAAGGCCATGCTTGATGTTTATGCTTCGAGGAAGAGAAAGGTGGAACATGAGTGGTGTAAAAGCGAGATCTATCACATAGTTCAAAGGAAGC